CATTTAATGCCTGAACGACGCTATCTTTTCACAACTTTCAGGTCACTATATTGTATTCAAACATGGCTCGCATAATAATTATTTATTTTGTTGTAATATCTCGTCAAAATCTGCAACAGAGTTTTGATTCAGTAATATTCAATGTCATTAAGATAATGAGATATTTTCCAAATGGCTTTCGTTGAACTTCAAACGGTCAAATATTGTCGTTTTTGTAATAGTGAATATGACCATTTTCATGAAACTTGAGCATTTGAAATGCTTCTCAAAGGATTTTGTGGACTGCGTGTTCTCTTAAAACCGAACAAGTCAAATTGCAGAACGAAGCAACGTTGTTGTTATGATGTACCAGGTCTAATATTCGCAGTCGGAGGTCTCACCAATACGGGTGATTCATTGTCAACTGTGGAAATGTTCGATCCCACCACAAGTATTTCTTCATCTTTATCGTTATGACATTTTCATGATCAACGATTATATCCAATATGATTTCATGTCTCCTTTCGAACTTTTTGTAGTCTATTAATGATGCTTTCTCCGTATTAGTTTATTCAGTCTTATGTGCGCATTTGCATGTGGATTGTATCAGAATGATATCCCATTAAACTTGCTTACTTTAGTCATACGCTTCGATCATTCTATCATTCGTTTCTGAAAATTAATCACAACACCAATGTTGTCTCATTGCTGCAACAATTAAGAAATAGTAATGATAATATTAATAACATCAAGCCAGTTTAGTGATTAGGATAGGTGGTAATCCATTGATTATGACCGTGAATAAGCCGGGTCGAGAGGGAGGATAGTAATGAATAGTGATGTATAAAGGTAAGTGGACGTGTGTGGAGCCGATGAATTCGATTCGTTCGCGCGTGGGTGTTGCGGTGATGAATCGTCAGTTGTACGCGATCGGTGGTTTTAATGGTCACGATCGCTTGAAGACTGTCGAAGTTTTTGATCATGAGAGCAATAAGTGGCGAGAGGTCAGTTGCATTTTCGTGTGATGCCTGGTTCGTATGTGTTAACAGATCAAGTTGAGGTGTGCCCATTGACAAACAAACGGTCAGCGCTCGGTGCAGCTGTGGTCAATGAACGTCTTTACGTATGCGGTGGCTACGATGGCATTTCATCGTTATCCTCAGTTGAAGTGTACAATGCAAACGCCGATAAGTGGTCGATGACTACGCACATGCACAAACAACGTTCCGCAGCTGGAATCGCGGTTCTTGATAACTTTATTTATGGTTCGTTTGTTTTTCATTAAGTGGTATTATTATCAAAATTATATGATGTATAATCATTGCCACTTCACTCATTCTGTTCAATTTTCGCTTTTTTTTTGCTTTTTCTTCAGAATTGTGCACGATGATTTATGGAGTGTGAATGCATGATGAGTGTTTGATTTATTCATTCACTCTTGTCACGTGAATTAACGTATTTCCGTGCCCACATGAACTTATCTCAAAGAATCTATCTCGAAGAGTACACCTCAAAACGCGTGCATTACTAATGATATTGTAACAAAAATAATTTTGATTGAACAAAAAACCCATATCTATATTCATATTTTTTATTTATCGTGATTATTTGAAGTGATCGGTGGGCATGACGGGATGTCAATATTCAATTCGGTTGAACGTTTCAATGTGGAAACTGGTGAATGGCAACTTGTAAAACCAATGGGAAGTAAACGTTGTCGACTCGGGGCAGCCGCACTGCGTGGAAAAATCTATGTTTGTGGAGGGTTAGTTTTATGGTTGTTGTTGTCGTTTTGATGCTATCATTACCGTTGTAATTATGTTCTGATTGATTATCAGTGTTATTGTTGGCTGTTAACATTATCAGTGAGGAGTGTTTTTTATCAGTTGTTTGAGTTCAGTAATGGTTCTAGTTTGAGCGCTTTCTGAACAAAATCTGAAGTTGCAGTTATGATGGATGTCAGTTTCTGAAAAGTGTCGAAGTGTACGATCCGGATGAAGATCAGTGGTCTCCATTATCACCAATGCATCTGAAACGATCACGAGTGTCACTCGTATCGAACGCTGGCACGTTGTATGCAATTGCTGGGTAATTTTGCATTTGTAGTCCTCCTTTAATACGGATTTTATGCAATAACATTTTTCGGAGATTCATTCATTTAGGTTAATTATTATCATCTGTGCTGGTAATGTTAATACTATTATCATTACATTGTTGAACATTTATTGATGATTAAATTGACTCTCAGNGCGGCAAGTATGATTGCCCACGAGGGTGGTGTGGGTATTGGCGTTATACCGATATCACCGGATAAATTGTAATATCTGTTATTGGGTGCGGTCATCACAACTGGATATTTATCATCATTATGACATTTGATTGCAAATTATACATATTTCTCGTTGTTATCTATCATTATTTTCCAAAACCGGTGATATATTGTGATATGATTATCATAAATTCATTATTTTTATCGTAATCAATTTTTATTCTGATATTTATCTTACTATTAATCTGAAATCTTAATCTTATCTTCATGAATCTGGTCGATTAGTATCTTTGATGAAAATTGTTGTTTTTTTAATTCGATTTAAAACACTCTTCAACTAGCTTCTTTAATTTTATCGTGCTGCTCTAGTCCATGCCACGCTTCTTCTAATCACCAGTGCCGTTTTACTTTGAGGCTGTATTCTGAGTGATTCTAATGATAATAATTGAATAGACAATTTGACGAGACAGACCAATTTACTACTGAATCGTTTGCGTTAATGATTTCATCTGAATAGCCTCTGTTCGGTCTTATTTCGTTTTGCCGTAGATTATTTGAATTTTATCGACTTATTCATCAATTTTATCGTCTTCCATTGTTGTGATTGAAAATAATGGTCATCTCTGATCGGTGTTGTTATT